ATAATTTTTTTACCGTGTTATTTATATGTATATAGCTAAAGTAACTCATAGCAGATCCATCTTTCACTACTCTATTGCAGTGTGTACGTAACATCAGATGATAATCAAACCCATCTGTCATAAAGAGAGTGGAAGTTTATATTAATGTTGATGAAAGCATTTCATAAATATTTATTTGCATTTATTTTTACTCTTGCAATAACTGTTCTGTTCATACATATGAGTATAAAGGTCGCCTGCTGCCGAACATTATCGTTATTACATTCTTTTCAAACTGAAATTTTAATTATATTCGATAGGGCACCTGAACAAACACCTGCGCCATATAAATCATTGAACACACTCACATCGTGTCATAAACGAAATTCAATGTTTTTATTTAATAACGCTTCCTTATTATCACTTTTCAAATAATGTCAATATTTAAATTAAAATTTTAATAATAAATAACGTTAATAATTTACTCGTAGTAGCAATCCTGTTTACCCTTTTATAGTTTCACTCTTAACATAACGGTATTAATGCGCCAATATTTTGTTATTTTTCAATTATGAAGTATTAAATATACAAGTAGATAGTAGATGATTATTGGCAAATTTTACAAAATTACAAGGACGCCTACGCTACCGCATACATATAAACACTTAAAGTACACACATACATAGTTATCTATGTATAATTCAGAGCGAAAAATTCAAAGATCCGATTGTTAAACGGTATTTCATGCAACCCTGGGAGCATAATTTAATCGTGCATGTGATGACAAAAATGAAATTTGTGAATTTATGTCTAAAAGCTTAAGTGCTTTTACATTTACACATGTCTGTATCTATACGTACAAATTTATATCGTATATAATACGAAAGCAAAAATGTGTAGGCTTAAATGCACGTATTTTGAATGGCACAACAGTAATAAAATTATATTTTCTTAGGATATTTTGCAAACGAAATTTAAGTACGAATAAATAAAAAGTTCTCACAACTTGCGAAAATACAATGACTTGCCTCATTTCATATAAAGGGTGTTTAACAATGGCTTTAACTGTAATTTTGTTATAACTTGTGTTATATCAAGGTCACTCAAATAGCATTTTTAAATAAATTATGGAAATATGTTTGCTTTTTATAAAAAGTTCCAACACAGAGGAACCCAAAAATTGATTGAAGGTCTCAAAAACCCTTTCTTCGGCAAAATATGTAATTGCAAGAGGCTTCTAAAAATAAAACAACTTCGTAATATCTATCAGTGGATACAAGTCCTACTCTGCCTTGGTTATATTTTATACTGAAAGAAATTAGAAGTTTATTTAGTGTATTTAGGCTGTTTGCTTTTCCACTGTAAGTATTTCTGCAAGAAACTTAAAATAATTTCAACCACATATTTGCGACTTAGTAGGCGCTTTTGCAAAGTATCATTAAAATATTACACATTATGAATCCAAAGTAGTTTTAGAACAAGTGGTAAAAAATACACTTCTTCTAGCCACATATTATGGTTAAGCGAGTCTGAACATCAAAATTCCACTCACTACTTACGACTACATATTATATAATACCAACATAGAATAATAGAGATTACAAAAATATTCATAAAAGTAAAGTATTGTCTTACTAATGCACTGATTTTACGTAAATTTAGTTAGATTCGTTTTTTAAATACCCTATATAAGATTTGCACAAAATCCACTTAACAAGCATACATATAATATAATATATATGTGTAAAGGTATATTTATATGCCTAGGTATATGTTAGGAGACATTTATTTTATTGTACCAGATTTAGATTCACGGTTTAACTGCAAAATTTGCCATTCGTGCTCATAAAGCAAACAATTTTTTGCCTGAAGTAAATATTTTCTATCAAGAAGAAATAAAAAACAAATATAAGGGAGGGGCTTATGTTATTGCGAGTACCGTCTTGCATCATATGAATTAGCAATTTATAAGACTTTAAGACATGATTTGGAGATGTCTGCAAATAATTATTAAGAGAAGTGTAGTGCATAGCGTCAGAATTCTTTTATGTGAACCGATTGTTTTTATTTGTATACCAAATTAGCTTAACGCAAAAGTAAAGCTCTCTCAGTCTCCTCTTGTCTACTAAAACAGTATCACCATCTTCTGCAGACTAGAATATAAATGAACCGGTTTTATCTATGGTGATTACAGTCTCACCTAATTTTGTTAAGAGATCTCGAATAGTAATCGATATAAAATCAACAATGACATCGAAAAAGTCTTAGAAACTAATGTACTAGGTACACAAATGAGTCTAAGGGAAGATGGAAACCGATATTATCTACCGTTACTAACAAATTTGTATCTAATATCGAGAGACGGGTTATTAAAGAGGTTTGAAATTTAACAACTTATCGAAAGTTAAAATCTTGATGAATATGTTATTAATGCCATACAAGAAATATTTTAATTTTGAATAGGGTATATTAAGTTTGCCACGAAGTTTGTAACACTCAGAAGGAAACGTCGGAGACCATATAGAGCTTTGTATGGAAAACTTTTTTATTTGAGAAACTATCTTCACAAAATTTGGTACGATTTATTTTCCAAGTCAACGCTATAATTTCCGAACAAATTTTTTAGATCTGATCAATGTAGCATGTAGCAGCTATTCAACTGGATTATTAAAATCAAGATGCACCTGTGAAGGATATTATAGCTTCGGTGAAGCTTAGATTTATATTGAAGTAAATACTTTACAGTTTATATATAGAACCTCTTCCTCCTTGGTATTTTCCAGATTTAAAACTGATTCTGAGAACTGAATCTGATTAATGGCGGAAGAATAACCGCCAAGCAGCTAAGTACATACTTTAAAAGCGTTTCATTGTAACACTTGCACTCAAAAAGCAACACATTTGTTGTTGTAAATTTTTGACGTAAGAATATTGTGAAAATAATCTGCATATTGGTGTGTGGTGACACGAAATATGAAACTAACTAGGAGAGAAGCTGCAATAAATACCTTTTGTCATGCCACAATTGCACAAACAATAAACATCAATGCCATGATTATACCATAAATGTACACATATGGTGCATAGGTGTATTTAACTAAGTATATACATATGTGTTGTTATAGATGTGTGTATGTGTGTGTCGAAATTCGATTTCTTATCCAAACATTTGAAATGTTGCATCTACATACTCCCTAACGGCAGCATCCCGTTAATGCATTGCCAGCTATGTGTATGCAATTTGCGTATTTCGAAAATTTCCGCACGAACAACAAACAACAAAACCAATAAACTACAGTTGCCATTTACACATCATCTGGGCTGACAGGTAAGGCAGCAGCAGCAACAACGACAACAACAACTAAAATAAGTACTGTTCATTAATCTACTACTAAACGCACAACATTTGCTGCTAGAAGAGTCTCAGCTGCAATTTTTCAGCCACCAACTCACTTTTGCGAAACGAAGGGGTATCTTATGCTAACGGTACATATGTGTGTAAAGATTACAACGTTTACCTCGCATGTTCGCTAACAACAATTATATTTTGTTGCAGCAAATTTCACACACTCTTGACATTAGCAACGACATTGCCACACTTCAACGCCAACATACAATACTAACAAAGGCAACGACAGCGCAAACCCATTTTCACTCAAGAATTTTTTTCACATTGAAATATTTTTAGTTTTCCTCTCCACGTTTGGTATTCAGAGGCAATCTTCCATACTGTACTGTCAAGTGTTGCATTCGCTTTGTACGCATTGTTAGGCGCTTTGAGAAACAAACTGACTGCAGAGTCACATTAATTTCCGTAAATTTGTCAAGGCGCCTTCGTGCCCTGACGCTTGTACAGGTACCCTGCTAGGAAATGAACTACGTACATATGTATATCATGACTCTCAAAAATGTATTCGAGCACAGGAACTGCATTAAAATTTTGAAAATTATTGATAATGTTCAATAATCGTTGAGAAGAGGGAAATATCTACTATTCTTACTAGCCAAGGTAAATATTCTAGAAAGCGACACTATTAAATACCTTGAAAAATATTTCGATCGCCGAAAATAACATGGAAAACACTTGTAGAATTGCAACAGGAGCAAGTTAAAGCAAAATCAGAAAAATTAACTGATTTTTGGGGCTAAGTTTTCAGCACAATCTTGAACTTGAACAAGGTTCTTTTACACAGCAATTCTGATTCCAGAGCGAACTATACCTCGCATTCTGGCGAACGGCTAGCAATTTAAACACTAACATTATATGGTTTTGAGTTTTGATACGCTAACGGCCCCAACCTTGAATAATAATATATGCATTTCGTGAAGATATCTCGTCAAATAAAAATAGATCATGGGCAGATGATTTTCTTCGCAGTTATTTACTCAGCCACCCTTCTCATGGCAAAAGAATTATAATATTACAAATTATATATGAACAAAACAATTTTTTTTTTTCATAAACATTTGGCATTTCTATGACGCATGAACTTTATTTACAAAGTTTCTAAACAAAATTTCTAAATTTTGTCAAGAATTCCGAAATACTTAACCCTAATTTCAACTAACTTCGAGATTTTGGCTTTTGGATTCAAGTTAGTTGAAACATTCAAAGTTATTTTAACAAAGTTCTTCTAGACGTCATGTTTTACCTCTAATATTAGTCTGAAATTGGAAGTATGAAACGACTAAATTTTTAAAAGCAATCAAAAGTGCCATTTTTACTTCAGTGCACTTAACCAACTTTAACCTATTGCCACAAATGATAATGTATTCAATAGCAAATTTCGGATTTTTGTTGTCTTTTTAACAAACTTTTAGTGACCAATAGTTCATGTAAAAATATTAGAAAGATTGTCGATGTCTAATTGGTTTTTATTTGCCAAAACAGTCAACGGGTAAATCGTACCCTGGATTCAAGGAATTAGTTTTGAAAATCTCTCCACTAATATCTAAGCATAATTTTAGAATTCTTTACTCTAACTTGATACAGAAATTTGAAAAATAAGATCCAAAAGGCATTTCCACTTAAAAGTATGCACACAAATGCATGTAATTGACAAGTATTTTTATTAATTTTTAGTTGTGAATAAAATGTACAACAGTGCCATAAATCCCAAATGCAAAAACCGATCCATACTCAGTTTGTCTTTGCCACTTGTGCTACGCTCTAACGTTACTAGATTGGAATAATGCAAAGCGGAAAATACCGCGCTTTCGTTCAGTTGCGACGAACAAGTACCCAAGAGCAAATCAATCGCAGCGGATGGCTGACTGATACATTGTATGACACCCTTAGTCAAGACTATATCTTCGGCCGCATCCGATTCATTAAAACATTTATAGTTTCGTACATCGATCACTTGTAAATATTGACAATGGAATATGGCGCTTTTTTGAAAAGTGAAAAAGTAGCGATTTGTGTCCTCATATGGAAATTGGAAAACAGCATATGGATCATTCACTTCCACGAGCATATCTTCGTAATTTTGCCCCAAAACTTCCGGATACACAATGTCACAAACTCGTTTTAGTTTTAGATATTTCAGTGATATGCAGTCCTCTGGTAATTCCATTTTATTCTCCTTACTAACATCGAAGTACTCTACATCGCCATAATCATATTCATTGTCTTCATCTTCGCCATCGCCATCATAATTTTCACCATCAACGTAAGCATCCTCATCCTTCCCTCCGTTTATAAATTTTGTTAAAGAATTTATTGTTAATAATATTATAAGAAATTTACAAAAATATTTCATTTCCAAAATTTTTAACGTTTTCAAATGTTTTCAAACAAAACATCTACATACATATACATATGTATTTATGTTTTGAACGTAAATATGTTTGACTATAATTGCCAGGTTGGCATAAACTTTTCGGAATAAAATCCTGACAAAAAATAAATAAAGTAAAGGATGTCAACTAGTCAAGAGATGAGTCAAGTTCCGCTTGTCGATCTATTACTCCCTGCAGCATATTTAGCCAAGTTTCCCTAATTTGACTATATACTTGTACAACAGACACCTGTGTCTTATGTTAACGAGTGACTTCTGCGGAGGTTTTTTGGAGGCTGGAGTACTAATTACGATTACAGTCTACTGGATTACAACACTACTAGCTCAAAAGCATCTGATTTGGTCTAAATGGCATTTGAAACCCATACACTTCATCTAGCAAAGATATTATTAATAGCTTACCCCACTGTCTGGCTTACCAATAATGTCACAATTATTACAAGTAATTTGGCTCATTTGGCAATTTCGCGGCTATTTGATCCATTGAAGTTTCGTCATATTCGATTGCTTCCATATCTACATAATTTCTCTATTCTCATTTTCATATCCATTCTCATAATCATCTCCATTGTCACAATCATCACCATTCCGCGTATGAATTTTTCCGACTACAAATTTCACCCCAAAAATTACGGTCAATAATATTGTAAGTTTATGTAAATATTCCAAAATTTGAGTTCCAAAAGTGTGTAAGTCAATTTTTTCGTACATTCATATATGTATACATATGTATGTTTATTTAACCATATAGAATTTTTAGGTAATTATTTTTTATTAAAAGTACTTAAAATATATTTATATGTCCATACATTCGTACTTATATAACAAAATGCTCCAATTAACAAGACGATTTGAAGTTTGTCAGGCGAAACCGCAAATAATTTAAGTCAAACTTCAGACATCACGCTAAACTCCTGGGTCACACTTAATCTCTAAGCGAGTTGTAAATAGACATTGTTGGACCTTATCCATCCATACTACCATACATATATTTTTATTATTTTGAAAAACCGATCCCGAGGATCATGAAGTACATTTGCTTCGTGTCAGAGACGTTTATATTAAAGTCAAAAATGAAATAACCCTCCATCTGGCATTACAAAGAAACTGTAGGTGTATGTGTGGCGTGACAGCCAGCCATAATAACCTAACCTAATCTAACTAAGATACATCTATTTAAAAATTTACTTAAAATTGTTATACGGCCAACGAAGGATTTATGCCGATGTCATCCATTTCATAAACCAAAAGACAATGCGCTCAGTGCAACATTTCGTCTTATTAACATATCGCTTATAATAACCAATATTCGAGTATATAATGGGTGATTTCAATCACAAGGTGAAAAATAATTTTATTTAGTATAAGAAGGGTAAGAAAAGATATGGACCAGTTTCGTCAATTTCATTGTCAAGTCTATTGTCGCAGGCATCATTAATATAAAACTAGTTTGTTTTCTGATATAGTTAATTCCTCTACTTTTCAGTGCAAAAGTCAAATAGGCTGAAATGATTTGTAAAAAAGTTATACAAGGCGGTTGCGGTATAGTAATATATGAAACTTGAAACCTCAGGCAGAAAAGGGATGATGCCACAACATAAAATAATAAATAATTCGTATGCAGGTTCACAATGCCCGCCGCTTTTGTAGTCAGTATTCAGAGAATTATTTTACCGTTATAAATTTTTAAAATTGATTTCATTGGAGGCTTAGCTCTCTTATTTACCCACCCACATATATAAGTATGTCTCTTCGTTATAAAATTAAACTCAGTATTAGTTTCGAATCACGCTTATTTTTTAAAAGAAATTTGGGATATTTTTAAAAATATTTAACGCCAATTTTGATTTTGTTTTCAATCAAAAATTTCACGGCAACAATAAATAATCGCGAGCATGACAAAGCCCAGCCGTAACCACCACTGTATCACAGTGGTTAGATGGGCATTGGAGGAGCGCTTCCCCGGCACAAAATTCGAATAATGTAGAGCTGTAAACGACGAACTCCCATGAAGTTCCGGCGAGCATGCTACCAGGAGCTCATCCACCATATTGGACTTATGTTCTAAGCATTTCATGAAACCATTTTTCAATACAATATCCTGTGAGCAGCCCGTTTCGTTTGTGCATACAAAATGGACGACATCAACTACTTCGATTTCTTCACAATGAAATAATGCGTTGTGCTGGAAAGTTATAAAATAATTGTCCACACCTTCGTCGTTGAATGAAAACACTGCATACTGATCATTGGATTCAACGAGATCATCCTTGTAGGTTTCTTTTATATCTTCTGGATAGAGAGCAGAGCATTTTCGTTTTAGTACATAATATTGTAGCGTTTTGCATTCCTCTATTAGTTCTGTATTTTGCATTTCCCCGTAATCATCCCCTCCATTATTAGTGTAGTAATCAGTGTCGTATGAATTTTGGTGGTCAGCATTTCTAAGTTTCGTTCCATATATACATTTTGCGGTAGAATTTATTATAATTAAAAAAATATATGTACGATATAAATATTTTATTTCCCGAATTTTTATTTCAAACATTTCTCTTCGCTCATAAAAACAAATGTGAAATTGTCGAATATCTAAACAGTTGTGTATATGTTTATATGATGAAGAAGAACAGTATTGATATTAGAAATCTAAAATATTCGGTTCATTTACAAGATCCCTCTAACCGACAAAAGTCATACATCTTTGATTATGACCTACCTAACTTCTCTGCAATTTTAAATTATTTAAAAGGTCAAAGTAGTATAATTAATTTAAAGTTGTAATACGCTAGAAACTAGACTAAACAAATTTATGTTGCTGTATTTTTTTTCCTACTGCTCTCAACTTGCGGTTATGGACCCTTGGCGTTCGATTTCCAAAACATACATATTTAACTTATGAAACCAATACTCTAAAACAAAAGCGGAAAAGAGATTTTCCTAATTATCTCCAACAAACATATGAAGTTACGCATACCACCCTTGGAGAGGGGCCCACAAAAACAAAGAAGACAAATTTATATCCTCATTTCTATATGTACTTCTTAATTGAGTATTCCCACAGAACTGTTAGAGTAAAATGAATTTTACTTATACTATTTTGATCATAACTACGATGGAACAGATATTTTCAATATGAGTTGGATTTGTTGGATGTTCAAACGGTGTACAGAAAAGACAAAACTTTGTTTTTGGTATTACACTAGATACTGAAATCTTATGAACTTGAAACCTTATACATTTCTGCTCTCTCTTTCATCTCTTTTCATTAGAAAATTGTTTTGAAATTCGCTTTCAGAGCTCGACCTTTTAGCTAACTTCATTTAAATCGGTTTGACGATTTCGGATATTAGATGAAGCCGAAATAGTGACAAGGAATTCATACAACATCTACGAATAGGGATGACGTGATTTTAACAGCTCGTGGCGGCCATTTTTGTTTACCGATTTGTGTACAGTTTTGTCAGTGTGTTCAGTAAGGTTTGCTATTTTATCATGTTACGTTCCACTTTGGTACAACGGTTGGAAATTTTCAAAGAAGTTGAAAAACGTACATCGAAAAATGGTCTTCTCAGATGAGTCCCATTTCTGGCTTAATGGCTTTGTCTAAAAACAAAATTGTCACTATTGGGGTGAGTCAAATTCTCGTGTGGTTCAGGAAACGCAATTGTAATGTAGTATGGCGGCATCATCGGGCTTTATTTCTTTCGAAATAAAGCAGGAAATGGCGTTACCATCTATAGCGGCCGTTATAACACGATGTTTGAGGCAACACGGTCTTCTTTATTTCCAACAAAACGGTACGCCGGCTCAAGTTTCAGTTCTAAGCATGTACACATTGCACGCAAAGTTCGGCAACTCGTAGATTTCGAGAAATTAGCCAACCACCAACGCTCGAGGAGCTCGAAGACAACATTCAGCGCGCCATAGCCGAAATACTACACAGGGTCATCGAAAATTGGCCAAAACGGGTGAAGATATGAAAACGGAGCCGTGGTGGCCATTAGGCCGACATTTTGTTCAAATCATAAATTGCATAAAATTATCTGTATAACAAAAAAGCATAACCCATTCAAATTTGAGTGTTTTATTTCATGTTTACATAACGTCGTTCTTGTTAGTATACCCTTTATATTTATAGTATACAAGTATATAAAATAGTATCTATTTATCTATTATTTACCTCAATAAAATAGCCATTACATTTCGGTTGCAGAAATTTAAATATTTATTACGTTTTAATGTTCAATAATCAATTGTTTAGTCTGGTGCCGGAGCACCAAAAGCCAACGATAACAACCGCAAAACTTGATAATACCACAAAACGTAAAATGAAATTATCATATGTAACCGCATTTATGCAAGCGACAGCAACAAAGCCAAGGATAAATTGGAGCGCCAATTTTAGCAGGCACCTGGCCAGGCAGCAGCTGTGTGACAGACAAGTGGCTATTATTAGTATGCCTGCAACCAGTGGCTATTACCAACGTTATTATCATTATCGTTATTGCCGTCATAATATGTTAAACGAAAATAAAAACAAAAGCAATCTGTAATAGCGCCAACAAACACTCTCCAACACCTATATTTGTAAATATTTTATGAGAAATATTGTTGCTCCTTTAGGGCTGCTGTGACCCCTTTACCATAGACACACATAGCAAATACTTAGATTTAACAGCACAATTCAATGTACGCAGGTATATTTTCTCTTGTTTGAATGTGTTAAACTAGCTACTACATAATATATACAGTTATATAGATAACTCGTTGGCTGCTACTTCTGCCAATGGCGGTTGCCTTCTGGTTGTCTCTCAGTGTTTTCATTGCTAACATTGTAGTGAACCTAACGAACGATCATAATACACTTAAACTACTACAAACATACATTAGTATATACATACTAGTAAATGCTTTTACATACATACATAAATACATATTTCGAAAATAAACAATATTGATTTTTCATTATATGTGCTTAATAATAAATTCAAATTTGTGTCCGCTCATGAGCGCTTGGAGTTTATATACCTTGCGGCATGGCTGAACAGGCACAGATATATAGTATTCATATACATATATGGTATACATATATGTATACACATGAATATATATGGGTAGTCGACGGTTAACCAACATAGACAAAAACTCGCTCAACCACAAATACTTTAAATAGCTGATAGATTCATTAGGGTGAACAAAAAAAAATGAACTAAAGATTTATTCAATGTGTAAATTCCTAAACTTAATGCCACAGATAGTCCATTATATTGGATAACCCATTTCGATCCATTGGAACCCAAAATAAGAATATATACAAAACATTATTTAGAGCTTTTATAGAATGATATATATATTTTAATTATAAAATTTATGGGTTAAAATAAACCTATATGTAGAGAAAAATATATTCCTGCAAAGAAAAATTTTAAGCAGAAGCAATAAGAAGCTTTCAATTTCCCATATACTCATACATAATTACTACGTAAAAAATTTGTTTTCATTAATAATACAATAACTTTTGAATCAACTAAAATCAAGCAATTTACATTTCGGATTGTATGTGATAAAATATTCAGATATCCTCTCAAACCAAATTTGGTTGAAATATGTCGAGCCGTTTCTGAGATATAGGCTTTTACCTGGAAGTGCACGGTAAATATTCGTTTAATGGCGTTTTTTTGGGCATGGCAGTAGTCCGATAACGCGCATCTGCAATACCAAGTTTAAAGTCAGATGAAAAGACGGAAATCATTATAACGGGTATATTGGAGGCAGAGAAGGGGACTGGCTGAATACATTAATATGAACATTGCTCAGGTATACTTGAGAACATATTTTCAAGCAACTTTTTAAATATATAACTTACACACTGAACAACATATTCGCCATAAAACTTCCAAAATCTTTATATTAGGTATATGGAGGTTTAGGAAAATATTGTATGCATTGTCTCCAAAATTACCTTACATATCTCATACATTGACTGATATTTTCGGTAAAAAAAAGTCACCTATAGGCACTGGAGTTCACATATTAGGTACCTAGGGGCTTAAACAGTTTTAGTTTTGGATAATTTTTGGTGGTGAAATGGCACCAAAGGAACTATTCGTGCAAAGTTTAATCCCACTATATTAATTCGTGCTTTAATTATATACTGGATGTGAAAGGATTGGATGGAATTTAAAATTGTGTTATATGACAAGTACGCGTGGTTGTAATCCGATTTCACCTTAAAAGTGGGCAGTGCCACATCTTCCAACTTTGACACCGGTTCTAATTAAGCCCATTTCTTCCTTCCTAAGTGTGAAATTTAATGTCTCTGGCCTGTTTAGTTATTGATTTATCACACTTTTAGTAGTTTTTAAGTAGTATAAAACCGTTATATGGGGAGTTGGTGGGGTTGTCATCCAATTTCACCTAGATTAACACTATAACCATATATCTATCTCGATTAATTTAGGTGATACAAACAACTATTAGGTGTATAAAACTATTATACTCTGTAGCAACATCTTGCAAAAGTATAAAAATTTGCCTTTCACATTCAATCCCCGCCCTAATGCATATATAAATAATTCTGAAGACCACATTTAAATATCATCGCACACTTGCTCACCGCAAAAATGTATAATAGTTATTTAGGTATACAAGTACAATATTTGTAGAGATATATCGAGCTGTACATCAAGTCAAGTGAGCAATATCTGCTTGGTGCGAGTTTTAAATTTTTGTGGAACTTTGAAGTCATATTGAAACAAAATTTCGTGTTTTCATGTACACACATTCAACCCAAGGAGCAGTTTTAAATGTTTGTTAATACTCCATCCCAAACCAGGTGTTCCGAACGTAGTAGAGCACATAGTACAGAAACTTATATTCTGACTTGACATTCTTATCAATTCATTAGAATGATTTACCGTTAGAGCATATAAAAAAATTGTTCTAAAATCAAAGACTATGTTGGCCAATAATAATTATTTAGGTCGCCAAAACTTTCGAATTCGGAATCTCGAAATTATATTTTTAAGCATCCATTTTTTTCGAGCACATTCCCATTCATAAATTTTGAAATTTTTACAATATTGAAGAGCATTAAGAATCAATCTTTGACAAAAATCCCCGCCATTAGCATAATTTCTTATTAAACCCACTTTGAATGTTTTGCAGATCTTACTTCGTTCAAAATAATTACTTCAAACTCGTTTTGGATATACTTCCTCGGTATAATTAACTTGCATTAAAAAATTCTGTTTTATATGCATATTAGGGCTGTTATGATGATAGACTTATAGAGTGGAAACCACAATTGCAAAGTACGTGAACTCTCCTCCTAATTTGATTATTCAGTAAAGTGTTGATAACTGTGATTCTATTAAAACATTAATTTGGTTCTAAGATAAATGAAGCTATTCAGGTTTAAAGAAAGTGATGATGCTCACAAAACAGCCAATGACTAAACGTTGTCTTGTCAGAAACTTTGATTAGTATTAAATGGATTAGAGACGTTGCGGTAATTTTCCTTACTGATAGTTTTGGTCGACGATTATTCAGAAAGTCGTATAAATTGTTCAGGTATCAGCCCAAATCCTGATAGAGCGACATGGATGTCTATCGCTTTGCTGCAAGTGACTTTAAAGTAAAAAAACATATGGTTAATATGGTATATGGTGAATATCTAGTCGATAATACTAGCAAACTATATGCTTCAGCGTCAACGGTTTTTAGGAATAGAAAAATTAATTGAATAATTAATGTTAATTAATTAATTAATATAATTCTATCAATTATTTTAAAATTTTAAGGACGAATTTATTTAAAGAAAACACCGTAAAATTCTTTATAAAACCTGAAAAATTAAATTCTCAACAGCAGATATTATCTGTACAATGACCTACGTTAAAAAAAAAATTCTTAAAACAAGTTTAATTTAACCCAAAATGTTCAAAAAAACTGGTAGCTAAGTGTATAGAGAAGTAAAAGTACAGAAAAAGTTTGATAGTGATTGAATCATTTGTCTCCGAGTAATCACTCAAGCAAATTTTTGAAATGAAGTTTTGATAAAAACGCGCTTAAATATAAACTATTGGAGCTGATTTAACTGAGCGGAAACATTTTAGAAGGCTGTAACTCAAATAACAATTTTTTTTAATTTCTGACTAGTGTGCCCCGTAATAAAGTTTCAAACATTATTTGATCTAACTTTTAAGTACGAATTAAAAAAATTCACAAATAAGATTAAAAATATCTCGATTTCAGTTTTTTTAAGTAATTGATATTCTCTGCTTGGCAATATTTCAAACTAAATTACTACTAGTTTGTAAAATATATTGTTTACGACCACAAATATAATTTCCATATGCTTTACGGCATATGAATATAAACAAGCAGTATAATAGATATCACTTTTCAGTTCTATGCATTCTTAAATCGGAAATAATTGCAAACGCTTTCAATACTCTCAGATTTCTCAATATAAACACATGAATGTGACAATACATATGCCATTGTATCGCCCACAACACACTCGACATACCTGCTGTTTCTGCTCTGATGTTCCACGATACATCCACTATTGATGTCTACACATACAAGTCCATAGACACGTATATATGTGTGTATTTGTAGAAAGAATCCTTGCGTGATTTTGTCGTTTTTTTTTTGTTTTGGCTTTTATTTTATTGCAGTTGTTGTTTCGGATCTACTACACTTATAATTTTGTTTTTGTTCTACCTTCTCTTGCCACTTTCGCAACTTTTTTTTATATCATAAAAGCTATTTTTATGAGCGTTTGATTAATGTTATTGCCGTGTTCTAAATGCGACTTTCAGTTTTCGCGGCTGAATAAAGTGAAATAAAAATAGGGATTGTTATAAATGATGCGGATCAAGAAGGGCGTTCTGACATTTAGTAAAGGCGATGTCGTAAAAATATGAAATGTACGGTGTCAGCACTTCAAAGTGGTTATACGAGTATACACTAATATAAAAAGTATGTTCGTAGCCAATTTCATACGAACGGAAATTATTTATAATGAGGAATAAAAGAGACAGAAATTAAATTCCTGAATGGAGTCTTAATACACCTTTTAATGGAATGAACTTTGAAATAATTTCATAATTAAATTGTCAAAAAGGGTCGATAATAAATAAAGTTGTAATTAAGACTCATATACACAGAAAAATAGCACAATAATAGATTTTCCAAGCACCCACCCTTTTAAATTCCGAAATATTTTGAAAGGTATAAACCAACGTTTACAGCCGGTATACATACGGATGTACTAAAGAACAATGACAATAAATATTACAACAATAATATTGTAAACAAAACAATGTTGACCCAAAATGTTCTGCACATTTATTTGGACTAAAACAAGACGAGTCAGAAAACACCGGCATTGTTTAATATTTTTTTATTCAAAAATACTAGGTTGTAGACAGAAAGACCGAGCCAAATAAGAGCTCTCTAATATAAACTATATACTACGTCTATTAATAGCTATGTAGGTTAGGTTAGGTTACGTGGCTGATCGTCTAATATCAGTGGAGATTACACTTAGATTGCTAAATACAGTATTTTGTGAAGCCAGATGAAGGCCTTGAACCCACCACAAATCTTCTTATTGGATGTCTAGAAGTGTAAAATCCGGAGAATTGGCAAGGTGAGACTTTCGAGAAGGAAGTGTTGAGCTTAAATAACTAGCAACCGGTAAAGTTTTCAATCTTGCCGGAAAAATCCCTTTCGGGCAATGTCCTGCGATTACTGGTTGCTATTATGTGACCAGCGTTTGTCGAGCTCGCCTAAGGCCCAACCACTAAGTAGTAAACCGCAAGCAGCCAGTGAGAGTGAGTATTAGAAGGGATAGTGACCACTCTAAAATGGGCTGCGCTCCGGAGTAGTTGATCTTTTGCTACCTTAATGGCAGCCACTTGCGTTTGGAAGACGTCATAGATAAAGTGAGCAGTATAGAATTCAAAGTGATTGAATAGGCATTTTTTAAAGTTAGCTGGTTTTTTGGATCAAAGAACAAATTACTAATAATAAGAATAAAAACTTATATCGAAACACACGGCTTTTTAACTAAGATCTTAATCATATAAAAAGTCATTGAGAAGGTTTTGAGTTCAAAAATGATTTTGGATGAAATTTTTAATTTCATGTTGAAACAATATAATTTTGTTGTTTATAACATTGAACAGCTTGTAGATTCTATTTACACATTTCAAAGAAGCTCTACACATATACATATACTATTTTGGGTAAGTTTCATTTCGCAGCACAAATTAAAAAAAAAATTGGAAACAACTATATATAAAAACATTTCTACGAAAATTAGATTACATTTTAATGAAACGTAAAGCTTTATTTATTGCGTTTACGTATGAAACAAATTCATATGAACAATTCCCATTCCTAAGAAATATATGCGTAAAACGAAATAAAGTGAAATTGTACAAGATACTAAACTTTTTAACAGCTTTCCATGCTCTCGTAAATTTAGTAAATACAAGTTTACTAATGCATATACATATCTCCACCTCTCCATGTGTTGTTTATTCATTTTATAACTGTTGTTTCCAATTATTTTCTGTTCCACTTCTAAATGAGATCTTATATGTTCCTACGTTATAAGTCCAAGTGGTAAAAACTAGATTTTTAAAGTATTTGGAGTAAGCTCTGCAAAATTATTTTGAAAATGTAAGAAAAAAATTTATTTTAAGTCAACGTTGCTTCAATGTTGTAAAACACCAACATAATTTTATTAACTGTAAATTCATGAGAATACACCAGTAATCTAGAGTCATTAATCCGCTTTAGGTGTAGATGCCTACTGCTCAATAAAAAATCTTATTTCCACTTCTGAATGTCGAGAGGCTAAAAAGTATCTTGCTGGAACTTAACAATGGAGGTATGTAGGTAGTAGTTCGTGAACTATGTGTCAGACCTCTTAGGCAATGTTGGGAAACACGGGAAAAATCGAAAGAGGGTTTATTAATGCATGAAAAGCTGGAATAACATGGTCTTTGTAAGATCCGAAAACATACATAATTAAATAAAAAACAGAACTCAGTATATACTTCGGATAATACTTTCAAATAGAGTTTCTCTGTAGAAAGATCTGGAGAACACCGAAAAAGTGCGAGGTATAGCTGATATTTATCCTGAGCGATATTTTAAGAACTTGTGTAAAATTTTTTGAACAACAATATTGAAACACTCGGAATCAACAATTAAGCAAATGTTTCAAAGTAAGGGAAATTCTAGGACAAGCAGTGGTTTATACAAACTTACAAATACAATCACCAGCAACATTAGTCATTTCTAGAATAGACTGCTCGTATAATAATTGTTACAACTTTTAACTTTCTATGAGACTTCGCAAATTTGCCATGTAGCAATCAAAAAATCAGGCGCAATAGTTAATATTAGCAGCCAAATACGGAGACAGGGCCCACAAATTTAAACCTCAGACTGTACTTCTATCAAACCATCAAAAGAAATAGGTTTTTTGAGAAATAGAGAAACAGCATTAGAGAAACACTTGCAAAAAGCATATTCGAGGTTATGTCAAAAATATGTCTCTAAATAAGAAATGGGAAGTAATTTAAGTTTAAATACTATAGAGCTCTAATAACTCTCACACACGTGTAGTCCTACTTGGTTGCCTATATTTACATACACACATACTTGTACTTTTCTCTACAGACGTACTAAATGGGTATGCTTGATATACAATAATCTGCCTTTAAAAACTTACTTACATATAAACGTATATTTTACATAACATACAAATTCACATAACCACTGAGCCAAAGTTTCCGAATCACATTTGTATTTTATTGCTTTTATGGCAAAAGTTAGTGCAAGCCAAAGAATTTGTTAAAAAAAAAATTTTATGTCTGTATGTATGTATAACGGGCAAGTACATTTTCTCAGTCTTTCATGATATATGTATATGGGTAGAAATGAGTGTGCACACATGTTTTTCCAGCTAAAAATTTTGATTTACTTTAATCTCCTCTAATTGTTTTCGTTTGCGTTTTCTCAAACCATTACAAAAGTGTAACTTTCGGTCTTACATATAATGGCTCCTTTTGATGTAAATAAATTAAACTGATTATACAGAAGTATAGCTAAGCGAGTGCTGCTTATGAGTATGAGTATGCTAACTAATATGATATTGTGGAACGTTTTCAGCTTTCTAAAAGTTAGTTAGAAACTTTCAAGTGAGCTACTGTACAACGCTTCAGGTTAAGATTTTTCCATAACAATCCTTCTTCTTGGTACAGAGAATTTTAAAAATGTATTTAGCCTCGTGCTGAGAGAGGAGAGAATTTGAAAAGGATGAATTTAGTTCCTTAGAAGAAAGTTTCATAGCGATACCCTTCTCTAGGATGGATCTTTCGACTAATGTGTTTCAATGTAGCTCCATCATGTATCGTTGATTGAAAGAGCTCTGTAGTACAAGGATAGTTCGTTGGTGGAGAGAGTATTTTTCATCGAAGTAGTAAATTATTAACAATAGAGCATCAATCATATTGTAATAAAATTTCTTTGTGTTTCCATTTAGAATATTAGAGCACTTATATTTCCACCATATATGCAGGAGTGCTTCCACAAAATATAGCTCAAAGTCATACAAAATTCTATCAGTTAATTTGCAAACTTGTTTCAAACTCAACCAAATTCTTGTGAGGAATAACGAAGATTAAAAATGTGAAACAAGAAAAGATTATTTCAACTTCCTAAAACGAGGGCTTTGATTGGAGACATCAATTAGCAAACCTCTTAAAATCTTGCATTCAAAAAATGTGGCATTCAAATTATTTATTCATTGTTGTTTACCTTTGTTGTCACTAATTAAGTATCCATGACCAGGTATGTATTGAGGCATTTATGGTAATAACGCATGTACATACCTACACATACTTATATGTATTAGGGAGTACTTGTGAACGCATAAGTGAGTTCAGATGACTACGATTTACTATGCGTGTCTACTTAATAAATCAGCCTTTGACTTGAATTCATTTCAATTAATTTAACTGGCAGTGACAGGTGTTAAGCAGCATAGAAGCTGGTGCGGAAGCAACAGCTGAGGAAAGAAGTGAACGATAGCTGTTCGCACTCGCACACTTTCAATCAAATTTGTTCAACACACTTGATTTCTAGAGCTGGGATATATTGCATAATAAGAGAATTCTAATAAAACTTATTTTCATGTGCACAATTCATTAAACAGCTCTTGATTACACTTATGCTAAAAGCGAGTGCTTCAATTTCATTAAGTTAGGTTGCTGATTATGTGATATTAAGAGACACATTTAGTGTTAATTTGCGAAAAAAAATTAATTAAATTTTTTGCATATTTTAATAGCCTGCACCTTTAAAAATATCATACTACAAAATTAAATGAATATTTCAAATATTTTTTATTTAAAAAAAAAAGGTAAGGAAAGGAAATCATAAAAAGGGAAAGAAAATTGGGACAAATAAAAAAACAAATATAAAACTTAAGTAAAATAAATAAAATCCGGTTTTAATAAAACAATGAAATTGTATTTTGTATTTATTTGAGGTGATATTATTTTCCAAAAAGTGAGTTTCTAACTTTTGATAGAATTAGGGAGAGAACTTCAATATATCACTAGTGTTTTCTGGAAGTCACTTTATTTGTAAATATGTTATGGAAATCAATTAGACATTTACTAAAAGAAACTAACATTTATATAAAATATAGCACATTTTTAAGGTGAGGTCTAAGAGGGTATATATATATATCTATATATATACATATATATTTCACAAAACTGTTTTCGGTTTGAATTATCCGATT